CCCTTCATCCAATTAGGCTGCTAAATATTAGTAATCATTTTCTAGCTATGCATCTTTTCGTAATTCCATTCATACATTTCTGATTAAATTTTAAGCCAAGAAGACTTTATCTTTTTGGAACAAGACTCTTAACAATATTTTTTATTGCTTGCGCTTAGATCGGTGTTCTCACAGCCAACACCATGATTATCTGGCAAAGGATGCCCGAATCCAAGCTTTTGCTTATTGGAAAATCAGCCCGACTAGGCACAGGAGCTGGTGGTACAGACTCAGAAGCTGGTCATAGTGGTTTTCAGTCGATCATAAACCCGAATTGGGACTTCAATCAAATGGGCATTGGAGGCTTAGATAAAGAGTTCTCAGTCATCTTCAGACGCACCTTCGCTTCACGCATGTTCCCTCCTGAGATCGGCAGACAATTAGGCAAGAGATTCGAGGTTAAATTGTTTTGTACTTTTATAAGTGATGAAAGAAGCACAAGAGACCGAATCTGAACTATCAGGATTACCGTAACTATCATTTTTTACCCTGGCTCTTAAAGTATTTCGCATCACTTGGAGTCTTCAAGATGCCATTATCGCCATTTGCTCTTATCTCTATCCATTTTTTTGAGACGATAGGGTTTTATTTCTTGCCAGCGGCCTTATTTTAATTTTCATACATTGCCGTTTTGCTAGTGCGTCAGACCAGTTTTATTCCTCTTTTACCCAACCAAGTATGAGCAGTCTTGCGAAGTTGTCTCTTATTTGATAGTTAAGGCACACTTGCCCTGGATGATAGAGTTATAGCCGGCAACAATTAACTTAGCTATTTGAAATACTTAAAAAAAGATATTAGTTGATACGCAGCCGGTAACATCATTGAGATAATGAACTGGACCCGCTTAAACGAATATTATTTTATAATAATTATTCCCTAAGCTTGATTGGAAATAGGACTTGGTTACTAACAAATACTTTATTGCATGGTGAATGTATAAGGAGACCTTTCCTATTTTTTTTTATCCTCATGCGTTCTCTTTAAATGGGTAGACGATCTAGTAAGGAAGTGGGGATTGAAATCGCTTTTCGGGAAATCTATGACACTTTCTTCAGTTATGCCCACATTTGGACACAAGTCAGGTTGCTATAATATAACATGCTCATGTGGCCGCTTTTGTGTTGGTGTGACTTGTCCTATTGGACAAAGAATCGCTGAACACAAGCTTCTTTAAAGGCTTTTGGGCTCATAAATCAGAACTATCGCTGACACGTGGAAAAGACTGGGCATGAGATTGAATGGTCTAAAATTTGTCGTTTTGCTGATTTTTATGCCTTCACCTAAGTACATAATTAGAGAGGTCATCAAAATTATCTGATTAGGTAATACATTGAATGTAAGAAATATCGTTAACAAGTTAAGTAAGAACTACTTTTGCTTAATTGATAGATTCAAGGGTAGAGGTGTCAAGCTCCTTGAAAAA